CACACACACACACACACACACACTCACACACACACACGCACACACAGCTTCCCCCGCCTCTGAAAAAGCTACTTAATCAGCATCACTTAATGTCTGCTCATCAGAAAACCGCTTTCTAAAGCACACAGAGAATTAAATAGATCACATAAATTAAAGCGTGCGCTTAAACAAGAGACTGGGCTCGCAGCGACTCTCATGAAAACATACCATATAATGAACCCCTAAAATCAAAAGAATATGTATGATATTTTGCATAAAGAAAATAAAGCCTATAAAATAAATCCTCAAAATAACCCAACTGCAGTTTGATTGAAATTAATTGGAATGCACAATGAAAAAATATGATTTTTGAAAATTGTTAAAACGGAGTTATCTGTTTTTGCAAATGAACTCTTCATATATATATATATATATATAGCATTTAAGCATTTTATTTTATGTAGTATCTTTATTGAAATTAAAATATGGGCAGTAAACAAATACTGACTAGAAAAAAACGATATATATTCTCTAAAAATATAAATATAGTAAAAAATTTTTTACTATATTTATATTTTTATTTGTATTTATAAGAAATACATCTTTATATTTATATTTCTTTTATTTGTATTATTTTTATTTTTATAAAAATCTAGCACTCTAACAAATACTGATATATATAATCAGAAGTCATGAAATTAAAATGTTAAATTATTGATGTTCCCAAAAATGCTTTTTCTTCAAGCTAACCATAATTCCCTGTGTCTTTCTTTTGATTTTGTTGATTTGGGGGTGAAATCTGACCTGCACAGGTTTCTCGACATTCCCCTTTCTACTTGATGAGAACTGGATGAAAAAGTTTGCAAGTCAAATCAAACTGTATATTTAAACATCTTTCTGTGAAATGTGATTGCAGGACGAACTCGTGTATATTCAGTCAGACGTTTCAATAAAATGGTTCGTTACAACCTCAAACTGCAGAAAACAGAGGAGGAAAGAGAGTCAGACTCACTCAGGACGTAAAGCGAGAGTCTGATCGCCGCCAGACAGAAGCCTTCGAAGAAGCGCAGCGTGCTGAACATAGCCATATCCACAGAGAAGGCCATGGCCAAACCGAACACCAGCACAGACAGCACAGACACCAGCAGCACGGGGATCCGGCCCAACCTGAGACGCAAAACACTGTCAGAGAACCAGCGCAACATCTCAGACGCTCGCGTGTCTCTGACGTACCAGTCTGCCATCGCTCCCATCAGCAGGTAGCCGAAGATAGAGCCCACCAGCAGAGAGAACTTAGCGATGTGAACCTTCCACTCGCCGTCACACACCAGCGTCCACTGCAACACAAACAGATGCACAAGACAGCTCAGATACAGCGCTGTCTTTCTCTAGATAATTAAACAGGCCCATATGGAACTAACTTTAATACGTTTATTACCAAATATGATGCAACCTGTTAAAAAAAAAAAACTAAAAAGCTAACTTTTGTGATATTATTTTCATGTCACATTATTCCTTACTAATTATCATCACAAAACAAATCAAAATTGCAATAGGTAACAAAATGCATTTATTGAAATTTGAAAATGTTTATACATGATTTTTTAGATGCATTTTGTGCAGATTTAAATGTTTGTATTAGAATATTTTTTTTATGTAATACAGTAAAAGTAGTTTGTGAAATACAATTGAGAGTAACGAGAAGTAGAATAAAATAGAGTAATATTTCACCCTAAAAACAAAACAAAAATATAAAGATGTTTCATTTTGTGATATTTTCATGTCACTTAAGCACTTTCTCACCACTTATTATCATTGAAAACTATTTTTATTGCTGCAATGTGTAAAAATAAATGTATTCATTTTAACTATATAATACTTATACATGATGATAATATTTCTTATATATTTTCTTATATATATGTATATATATATGTGTGTGTGTGTGTGTGTGTGTGTGTGTGCTTATTTAAATTATTGTATTGGAGTATTTTACTGTAATACAGTAAAACCAATTTGTGAATTAGTGAATTTTAATAATATTTTTATGTCAGTTAAGCACATTTCTTACCACTATTTATCATAAAAATCAATTTTTATTACTTTAATATGTGTAAATAAATGCACTTATTGTCATACTTTAATTTATGCTGATTTAATATCTTGTATTAGAGTATTTTATTGTAATACAGTAACAGCAATTAGTGAATTACACTTGGGAATAATACGAATTTGAACTTAGAGTGTTATGTCACCTTTAAAAACTAAAATATAAAGATGTTACATCTTTTATACTATTTTCATTTCTTACCACTATTTATCATAACAAAATATATTTTTATTACTGTAATGTGTACAAATAAATGCATTTATTGAAACTATATATACACAATAAGTATGATGGTAACATTTCTATTTTAATTTAAGCTGATTTACATTCTTGTATAGAGTACTGTATTGTAATATAGTAATAACAATTTGTGCATTGCAATGAATCAGAATTAGAATTAAACTAAAAGAATCCAGGTGCGTTACAATAATAATCATTTGGTGGTGAAATGTACACAAATATCATAAAAAAATAATGTCACAATGCAACAAATAGGTTTTATTTTCTTAATGCAAAATATAATTAATTTCTTTTCAGATGGAAAAAGAAAGAGAAAACCCAAGTTTAAGCACTAAGTATACAGAAACAGGGTCTAAAATACAAAATGCCTTCAACAAAACTCTTGCATGACTCACTTCACAAGGACATTGTGTTTGCAGCACTGAAACAAGACAATGACGATGACAAATTTCATTAGAAATTGCGTTGCCGAGTTTACAATTACCAATAAACTTGACTAAAGCTGAAGTGAACAGATTCATCCGACGTGACGTCGAGAGTGACCGACTGAAAGGGAACCTCTCTCCTGCAGACAGTGTCGTCACATCCTCAGAATGCTTCATTAGCATTTGTTTGCGTGGCCGGCAGCATGAATGAAGCTCTTTAACACACTCAGTGAAGACACTAGGCTATCGGTGTGAGAAAGGTCACACACACACACAGCAGGTCAGCAGGACATCGACCAAAGACTCTGAGAAAAACATCCAGGCAGGAACGCAGAGCTTTATCTCAGACTCACTGATAAAACACTGAGTCTGGAGGAAAGCGTGTGCTTGTTAGGGCTGAACTTATGGAAGCTTGTTTTCAACGCAGGATGAAAAGTAAAAATATAATTGCAAATTTTTATATTACAGCTCCTCACAATTCTGAAAAAAGTCACAATTGTGAGATATAACGTCAGAATTGTAAGATATCGGAATTGTGAAAAATAAACTCACAACTGGAAGAAAAAAGTCAGAATTGTAAGATGTTAACTTGCAATTTTGAGATATAAACTCGCAGGTTTATGAGTTTATATCATACATATGAGTTATATATATCGTTTATATCTCGGAATTTTAGTTTATTTAGCAATTCTGACTTTATCTCGCAATTCTGAGTTTATATCACAATTCTGAATTTATATCTCACAATTCTGAATTTATATCTCACAATTCTGAGTTTATATCACAATTCTGAGTTTATATCTCACAATTCTGAGTTTAAATCGCAATTCTGAGTTTATATCACAATTCTGAATTTATATCTCACAATTCTGAGCTTAAATCGCAATTCTGAGTTTATATCACAATTCTGAGTTTATATCTCACAATTCTGAGTTTAAATCTCGTAATTCTGAGTTTATATCACAATTCTGAGTTTATATCTCACAATTCTGAATTTATATCTCACAATTCTGAGTTTATATCACAATTCTGAGTGTTTGTATCACAATTCTGAGTTTAAATCTCGTAATTCTGAGTTTGTATCACAATTCTGAGTTTATATCTTGCAATTTTAAGTTTAGATCCCACAATTCTGTGATAATTCTGAGATAATAATGTGATAAAAGACTTTATAGGAACTAGTTCGGCATGAGAATTACATGCATCATTTATACATGTTTATTTGGTGTTTGTGCAATTCTGAGTTTATAACTCACAATTATTAAATGTTTCTCAAGTCTGGATTGTGAGGTAAAAAGTCACAATTACCTTTTTTTTTTCTTTTATCCCATGGTGGAAACAGGCTTCCATATGAAGTAGCAAACGTCTGTGCAAATCTAAATGTGCATTGAGCTCTGAAAGGAAATGTGTGAGATAATAATATGGTAAAGGCCTTTACTGGAACAAGTTCTGCGTGAGATTCACATGCGGCGTTCATAGATGTTTATTTGGAGTTTCACAGGATGATTGTGACTTTTAAACTGTTTTTGCAATCTGACAAACTTTTTTTTCAGACTTTAAGAGGAAGCGTGCTGACATTAGTTGTCGGGCCTCAGCGTTATCTCTCTGTCCGTTGGGGTGAGCATTTAAACAGTTATCTGCTCCAGTCTGGAGGGTGTGACACTGAATTATCAGTCAGATATGCATACTGTAGGTGAAGTGATATGCTCACGAACCCGTTGACACTGCTGGTTTACATAACCATCAGTGATCAATGCAACCTTTCAATTCCTTGATCAAACACCCTATTAATTAAAACCTTGCTAATTAAATGTAAATCTGCAAAGTGCATCAAATAATCAGCTGATTTCATGCTAAACGTTTACAGATTCAACGTGCATCTTCAGTCATTTCAGTGCATGTTTGGTAAGGCCTAAAATGAATGACTTTTATGTGATTTCATGTGATTATTAGTGTGTATACATATAGACTATTGCAATGGGGTTACAGAAGCATTTCGCCCATCAAATGAACCTTTAGATTTTCTCTACATTTGTTCAGACAGTGAGTAAAATCACTGAAATCCTGCTACCCCTGTTTTTCACTAAAAACTGACTAAAATGTCAAAAATGTAAAAACACATATATTTCTGTAGTAGAGGCCTCCTACAACCACATTTAAAATGTGAAATAATTTTTTCACACAGGTTTTTTCTATATTTGGGTCTTCTAGGGTTAAATGGTAGCTTTCCATCCTTTCCAAGGATTGACTTAGTATGTCATCATTTTGACTCGTCAGAATTATGATTTAGTATGTCATTATGTCATAATTTGGACTTTTTACCTATTATGTATTTGTATGTCAGAATTATGACATTTCATTCGGCTTCCATATCAAATTCGGTTGTGCGATAAACAGGCCTAAATAACAATCTTCCTCTCAACAGTATTTTCGCTGCTCGACCGCCCCAGTCCCCATCCCCAGATAGCACACATACATCTGCAAGATGTCTGTTAAAGATCTCTTGATCTGGAAAGCATCTGCTGTGTACAAACGTCTGACAGATGTCTTTCAGATGTCAGTTTTACATACATTCTTCTAAATCATAAACATCTTAAAGACATCTAATATACGTCTATTTGATATCTGATAGAAAACGTCCAATAGACGTCCAATATTGCAAAAATACGTCTTGCAGATGTAAATGCAGACGTCAAATAGATGTCTCGTTGATGTATGTGTGCTATCAGGGTCCACTTGTACAGAAAAGAGCAGCGTAAACATTCGGTTAAACATCGTTTTCGCATTCCAGGGGTAAAAAAAAATCGTATGCATTTGGAAGGACGCGAGGGCGAGTAAATACGACCGATTCTGACCGATGACGGAATTTTCATTTTTAGGTGAACTATTCCTTTAAATGGTAGCTTTCCATCCGCCGGAGGGAATCTTTTCCAAGGGCATCCATCAGAGCATCTTACCTTGGTGACTACATTCTGCTGCAGTCCCGACTGCAGCTCGAACCGCCACTCGGAGCACATGCACGCCGTTACGTTGCTGCCCTCGGCGGTGGCGGCGGCGTCGTTCCCGGTCGCGATCAGATCGAAAATCTCCCGAACCGAACTCGTTCTGTTCTGATCCGGACGGACGCACTTTCTTCCCGGTTGACCGAGCAGAAAGTGGTCCGAAAACTGGCTGAACGAGATGAGGAACGCCGGGATCCACGTTAGAGCCACCAAGCGCCGCTGATACCTCCCAAACCCGCCGAGGAACGGCAGAACCACGGTGTCCACCTGCGAGAGCCGCTTGTGCGGCTCAGACTGCGACACACTGCCGTTCTCCGCCGGTGATGGGTTGAGCCCATCCAGCTGAACCGCATCCATAGCGCGTCGCTTTGCGCGGAGGGTCTTTGTCTCAAAATCACACTCACACACGCTGAGGTTCGGTGTAAATCCGGTCTGAACGGAACCCACTCTGAATCCGAGCTATGATAATCCAGCGGGCGCGATGATGCGCAAGGGGCCCCATAAGGTCTTTGTCGAACCCGGTGGTCACAACGCCATCGCCGCGCTGCAGGATGCCCAGATCTGCGCGTCTGTGCCCGGTGGTCTCCAACAGGTCCGCAGGTAACGCAGCTGGCGCACAGGTGTGGCCCGCGTATCCATGCTTGAATCCCGCTGTACTCACATCAGGGATGCTGCTGAGCCGATCCCACCCAGCGGCCGCGCACTAGCTCATAAATAACCCCTAAGTAGCGAAGGCTTGGTCCCTCAGCGCGCCGTTTGCACCGGCGATCGCGCACCGCACGCATCCAAACGCAAGATCCGCCCCCTTCGCATGATCTGTCCTCCGGTGTGTGTGATTGGACGAGCGCAACAAAGAGCCTTTGTGTGGCATCTGCCCCTCATGAGCTCAGGGCAAAAACACTTCAGTGGCCTTCTGTATTTATTTGTATTTTTACATATACCGTTAATGTTAGTGTTATCTGTAAGCACCAAGGGTCTAACGCAATTTCAATTCTCTGTATGTGCTGTACATGCGGCAGAATAGACAATAAAGGAGACTTTTGACTTCTTCGACAATTGTGTTCCTGCAGCACAAAAGCAGTCTTAAGTCGCTGGGGTATATTTGTAGCAATAGCCAACAATACATTGATTGTATGGGTCAAAATTATACATTTTTCTTTTATGCCAAAAATCATTAGGATATTAAGTAAAGATCATGTTCCATGAAGATATTTTGTAAATTTCCTACCGTAAATATATCAAAACTTAATTTTTGATTAGTAATATGCATTGCTAAGAACTTCATTTGGACAACTTTAAAGGCGATTTTCTCAATATTATTTTATTTATTTATTTATTTATTTTGCACCCTCAGATTCCAGATTTTCAAATAGTTGTATCTCAGACGAATATTATCCTCTCCTATCAAACCATACATCAATGGAAAGCTCAGTAAAGTCATTGTAAACTGAGTGCAGAGTGTCAAGGAACATTATATTATATTATAATGTGTATTTATACTTTATAATATCTTGCCATAAAAATAATTAAATAAATGGACATTCAATGTTGGATTTGAATTTAAATTATTTTATTATGTGAGAAGAAAGAGAGTGCTGGGCATTAAACATTATTATATTACAATATATTATATTATATTTTAATGTGCATTATGTATACTGTACATTAATGTGCCAAATAAATAATTAAATACATGGACATGAAATATTGATTTGAGTTTAAATGATTGTATTATGAGTGGAAAGGGTTAAGGAATATAATATTATATTATTAGATAATGTGTATTATTTATATTATCTTGCCATATAAATAAATGGACATGAAATATTGAATTGTAAAAGTTATTATTATGTGAGTTAAAAAAGATAGTGCAGAGTGACAAGGATATATAAATTATATTATATTATATTATATTATATTATATATATATAAATTATATTATATTATATTATATTATATTATATTATATTATATTATAATGTGCATTATGTGTACTGTACATTATCTTGCCTAAATAAATTATGGCATAAATAAATAAATTGACATAAATGATTGATATTGAGTTTAAAATATTTTATGCGAGAAAAAAAGAGTGACATATAGTCGTATATTTCTATTGTAGTTCTTGCTTAGTTGTGAGGGTTTATCATGGACAGTTATTAATTTCACTTAAAGATTGGACAATGTAGACCAAATACTATAACAAATCAGCTTTTAAAATGTTTTTTTAAAAGCTTTTAAAAGAACTTTGTTAAATATTCTCATCACTCTAGGGATGGTTTCCCTATTTTTATTGTATGAAGTCATTGAAATATCTCCATGTTTTCGTTCATTCAGGCCGTGCACCATATGGCCTAGAAATGTCTGCTGTCCTTGGCTCACTCTGCTGTGGATTATCCTTTACACCCAAACAAGAACAAGTTCAACACTTCAGGACACAGACTGTGCTTCACTGTACATCGCTGCAGGAGATTCAGCACAGGTGATCTTTCATGAACTGCAGCTGTTTTTGTTTTAGGGGCACATTTATGTCATTTAAAATATGAAATACCATCATAAAGTATAATTATTAGTCATCATTTCCACCACGACCAACAGTTTTGTCCCTAAAAAAAATGAGTGTTCATGCTTACTAAGGAAACAACTGTGTCAGTGGAGAAATGCAATACACATTTGAAGAAAACAAAGACAAATCAAGGTAAATATCACTTTTAAATATTGTGTTTTCATGATTCATCATATGTTTTAGAATGATACATTTTGAAATTGTATTTAACCCTTGTGCGTAAAACATCGTTCATAAATCATTTTCATAAACCTAAACATCTAGAACTTTTTTTTTTATTTTTTACTTTTTTTACTTCAACAATAATCTGCCCTGGGTCTTCTTTAAAATGAGACCAAACTTAACTCTGTGCTCCCAAGCTTCAAATATTTATGACATTGGTTTGACTAGATTTATGGCTTTGATTTTCTAGCAGGTATAGAGTTCAACATGTTTCATAAAATATATATTTTATATAAAACATCGTTCATAAATCATTTTCATAAACCTAAACATCTAGAACTTTTTTTTTTATTTTTTACTTTTTTTACTTCAACAATAATCTGCCCTGGGTCTTCTTTAAAATGAGACCAAACTTAACTCTGTGCTCCCAAGCTTCAAATTTTTATGACATTGGACATGGACATTTTTGTCCACTATGGACCTATGTGTAACTTTTTTTAATTGACGCACAAGGGTTAATTGTGTGTATTTAGGATAAAATGTACAAAGGTGACCACTTGTATGGTGCAAATGTCACAATTAGTAATTATGTGTATAAAATAGATATCGAACTTATGATATTATTAGACCAAATAAACTAGTGAGAATGCGTGAGAAAGTGGGTCGGGTCGGAAAATGGGCGGGGTTTAGCGACCTGCCTGCTGTTTTTAATTGGTCAGTTGCAATTGATAAATAGCAGTTCTCCGTATTTAACAGTTATTTATTTATTTAATGGCTAATCAAATGTCATTACTTTATTAGACTGCAGCAGTGTACAGCGAGCACGTCACGTGGTACCTGTTAATCTTCTCAGCGCTGGTCAGGATGAACCAATCACAGTCGTTTGTGATTACCAGATTAAGATAACCAGATTTACCAGATTTAGATCACAATTAAAACAATTTAGTGTCAACAAGGACTCTGCACATCTTGCATAGCAAAACAAAACAGTAATTAGTTTAAGAAATGTGTTGTCCAAATTCAATTTGGCATGATAAACGGCAGGCTACGTACCGACAAAGCATTTGCAAGGACTAAAAAGAATAAAACTTGACCAGAGAAGATCTGCTGCTGTTTGCTTCCCTCTAGAGGCGCATATTTCAATTCTGCGTCAATATTTAGTGACTGGCAGATGGCGCTATATGTTAACAAGGAGAGCGGAACCTTTACATCACACTTCCGGTGCAGTTTTGGCTCATATGACCACTGTGTAGGGATTTTTTCAAGAAAGTAGTTCTTCGGAAGTAAGGTCACTCTGAAGGGGTCTTATTGCACAACAGTGGAGTTACAGAAATAAAAGGCCTTTTCATTTTCTCCATAGAGTAATGCGGTTTCCCAGTAAAGCTATATGAAGTTAAAATATGATATTACGTGCCACACATCAGCATCATTTCAACTTCTTGTTTGAAAAAAAACAACAACAACAATAAGGTTCAAGCAAGGTTCAGGATTTTCCACATTTCTATAAATGATCTTGCTTCGCAAAAGAGAAAATAACCTCCACAAACTGTTGCAACAAAGCCTAAAGTACATACCTCTCTAGAATATCATTATATGGTGAGAGTGTCTTCATACAAATGACTGGAATAACCAAATCTGTTCATTAGAAGCAGTTGTCAACACACTTTTGGTCATATACTGTATTTATAGTCAGTGACTAGGTGTTACAACCCCTGGCTCGAAGGGAAGCAACAAAAGGAGAGACACACGAAATCATAAGGCTCAATAGGAAAAGGCTTTATTAAGCTCAAAAGTAAATCACTATAATAGAACAAAACACAACAGAAAAGATAATATTTCTGAAAACGTCAGCATCATCAGTGTGTAAAGCGGGGTGCCTGGCTGCTAGTGTAATGTGCTGTTGTAGCCATGTAAAAGTGCTCAAAACAATACAAATCAAACCAAACACAACCCAATATCCCAAGTCCTCCGGATGAGTAGTTCATTCTCTCTCTCTCAACATTTTTTTTGATGTAATGTATTTGTTTGTTTGTTATTGGCTAAATACAGGTCTGTACCTTTTGATTTATTTATCTATTAATCAATGGGGGGGGGAAATTGGTATTTGCTCATCTGAAATAAACTATTTATTTATTTGTTTGTTTGTTTATTTATTTAAGATTATCAAATACTTTTTTGCTTCAAATTAAAGTTTGTAGTATTGTGTTTATATTGGAGATGGTTTGTCCGGTTCATGGATCAGAGATTTTTTTCTAAAATCCATGGAGATTATTTATTCATTTGTTTGTTAGTTTGTTTGTTTCAGATGATCAAATAACAAATATCTATTTTTTCTCCCAAAAAAAATAAAAAAATAAAAAAATAAATACACAGTCCATTGACCATTTGTACAATTTGTATTTATTGATTGGTTGACTGATTGATTGATTGATGTATATCATATTATCAAATACTTTTTTGCTTCAAATTAAAGTTTGTAATATTGTGTTTATCTTGGAGTTGGTTGGTTTGGTTCACGGATCAGAACTTTTTATTTAAGATTTTTTTTTAATCCAGTTGGAGAAAATGAACAGAAAACAAACAAACAAACAAATAGATAGATAAATTTACATCACAGGCATCTCCATGTAGTAATACCATACTTTGAAATCTATCATTACCTTAGTCACACAACATGCTATTGACATGCTACTGCAAGGTACCACAACAAACAGCCCAGGCATAAACGCTCCATTTATTAGTTTGTCTTCTTCCAACAGAATCCGTCTCATGTATAATTGATGACTTGAGCGTTCAGCTGCCAGCAGCCAGGTGACATCATGTGTTCAGAAGAGGAGTGCTATTACCAGAGAGAGAGAGAGAAGGAGTGAGGATATATTTCTTCACAGTGAGATGACGGCATACAGTCAGAACTCATGCAGCTCACATACACGTGCCATCATCACACACACACATACACACACACATACACACACACACACACACACACACACACACACACACAGTTCAACATTGGCACATCTATCTGTCTATCTATCTATCTATCGTTTTATCCTTCTAT